AATTTTTTTTACATATCCCATCATCAAACTACCTAAGATTTATTCCCTAATTTTTTTAAATGAGGTTTATTTAAAGTATAATTTCTGTACAGAAGTTTACCTTCTAATTGTACAGTTAGGAAACTTTACATACATTCACCACAAATATAGACTAGTTCCACCCCAAGAATTCCTTTGTGCCCAAATCAATCCACTTCCCACATACACTGTCAGTGGCAATCACTGGTCTGTTTTCTGTCCGTATAGTTTTGCCATTTCCAAAATATCATAAATGGAATCCTATATGGCCTTTATGGGTCTAACTTCTATTTCTTAGGATATTGTATTTGAGATTCACCAATATTGTTAGACATTTCAATAATTTGTTCCTTTTTATTTCTGAGAATTCCATTGTATGGGTAGACCAGGGGGGTTAAAAAATTCCATTTGCCAGTTGATGGAAATTTGAATTGTTCCAGATTTCCATGAATATAAAAGCCATTACAAACATTCATATACAGGTTGTTGTAAGTACCTAATAGTGAGATTATTTGATCATATGGTAAATATATATTTTCCTGTATGAGAAAGCACTTGGATTTATCTGAGCTTCTTGGATCTGTGGTTTGTCTTTCATTATATTTTGAAAATGCTTAGATGTCATTTGTTCAAATATTCTCCTGCTGTCTCTTCTCCATCTGGAATGCTAATTATACATATTAGACCATTTGAGATTGTCCCATAGATCTGGAATATTATTTTGTTGTTGTTTCACCCTTTGGGGGTGGGGATCAGTTTGGATCATTTCTATTGACCTATCTCCAAGTTTCCTGATTATTCTTCAGCTATGACAAGTCTACTGATGAGCCCATAGAAGATATTCTTCATCTCTGATCCTATGTTTTTTATTTCAATTTGTCTCTTATAGTTTCTTCTTCTTTGCTGAAATCTGTTCACACATATTATCCATATTTTCAACTAGATTCTTCAACATGTTAATGAGAGTTTAGGTCTTCGTTCAATAGTTCTAACATCTGGATCATATCTGTATGTAGTTTTGACTGTCAATGAAAAATGGCTTGGTTTTTCTTTGTGTATCTCATTTATTTTCTTGATTGCCAGTCAGTGCTTATGTAACACTAGAGACTGCATAAAGAGTAGTAATGCTTGCAAATGGACAAGCCTCTTCTTCTGTCAGGCTAATTGTGTGGGTTTGGTCAATTTAGTCAGGAATTGAGCTGGGTTTGGGTTTTGTTGTTGCTATGGTTGCCTTCAGTGTACCACAGCTTTCATATCTTCCAGCATTATTTTGTGCTTTAGGTTAGAATTGAAGAACTTTTCTTAAGGGTTGATATTTCATCCTTAGCTTTCAGCTGTCCTGCATACCTGCACCATTGTGGTTAAGTCTGTGCATTTGCTCACCCTCACCAGCTGATGTTTGTTACTAGCTGCTTCCGAGGTGGTTAGTGGCGGAGGGGTCAGGGGTTCTTTGTTCTAATTCAGCCTCAGTTTTAAGTAGGTCCCTTGTGGCCAGGTCTTGGAAACAGGTCTTTTCTTAGTATTTCTGCCCCTCTTCTCTGTGGCAACCGAACCGTCTTATATTTGCAGCTGGCCCTTCCTATAGTGAGTGGTAGGAAACCTTTAATGGAATTGGTATAGAATCGTGGGGCTCAGTCAGGACTGTCCCTCTCTAAGTTGGGTTTTTTCTTACCTTGTTCCAGCAGCAGTGGAGACAGGATTTGTTTCACCCCATGACTTAGGCCTTTATGCTCCTTATGAGGGAAGGTATAAAGAGAGGAGGCAAGCTTTCATGTCTTTTCTAAAGTGGCAGCAGATCCCTCCTGCATGCCTCCAAACCAAGGGAGGCTCTGAGAGTTCCAGCACCACTCCCTGTCCCCGCGGGTCTTTCTTGTGAACACCTGGTGAAGGTCTTGGGAGGAGCTTGTGAATGCATGCAAGCTTCCTTAGTGTCTGAAGCTCTCTGGGGTTTTAAAATGCCATGTTAGCCCAGAGTTGGCCTTTAACAATTCTTTCATTTTTTTGTTGGTTTCCTCTTACCTGCTCATATGCACTCAACACTTCTTCCTCCCATGCTCTGCTACAGGTGAGCCACTCTATGTCTGATCTCTTTGGAGGATCTACCCCTCCTTGAAATTCAGGGTATTTGACTGCTCTGCCACAACTCCAATAAAATGTATGATTTTGTCATCTATTGACCTTTTCTTTTCGAGGGGGGTGACACTGTCCAGATGTCTGCATTATAGGCAGAAGTGGAACTCCTGAGTTCCACTTTTATTTATTTTTAAAATATTTTTTTTATTGATTTCAGAGACGAAGGAAGAGATAGAAACATTAATGATGAGAATCATCAGTTGGCTGCCTCCTGCATGCCCCCTACTGGGGATCAAGCCCGCAACCAGGGCATATGCCCCAACTGGGAATCAAACCATGACCTCCTGGTTCATAAGTCAATGCTCAACCATTGAGCCACACAGGCTGGGCTCCGCTTTTATTTTAAAAGGAAAATTTGATCACTTCTGTAAACAGAAAATTAGTATGTTTGGTTTTTTAAAAATATATTTATTGATTTCAGAGAGGAAGATATAGAAACATCAATGATGAGAGGGAATCATTGATTGGCCGCTTCCTGCATGCCGCACACAGGGGATCGAGCCCACAACCCAGGCATGTGCCCTGACTGGGAATCGAACCGTGACCTCCTGGTTCATAGTTCGATGCGCAACCACTGAGCCATGCCAGCCAGGCTAGTATCATGTTTAGATGTAGCCTTAAAAACAAGTACAAGGACAATTTTTTAGTAAGTAGCTACTGTTGTCTGCCAAAGGCTCTGAGCCAGAGGCCTATTAAAAAAAAATGTGTTAGATGTGACAAACATAAGAGTGATTATTTTTCCTTGATTTTTAAAAAAGTATGTTTTTCTTGATTTTAGAGAGAGAGGAAGGGAAAGGGAGAAACATGGATGAGAAACATTGATAGGCCACCTCCTGCATGCCCCCTCCTAGGGATTGAACTGCAACCCAAACAGGTGCTCTGACTGGGAATGGAACCAGCGACCCCTTGGTGCATGGGATGATGCTCAATCCACTGAGCCACACCTGCTGGACTTTCCTTGATTTAACCAGAAGGATGGGGGCTGAGGGGACAAGAGAGGAAACAACTTTCTCACTATTTGATTCCATATTATTTAATGTTACATTCATTTAACACTTAGTCATTATCTTATGTAGGTGTCTCACATCTAAAGTGAAATATATTTCACTACAGATGCCCTGACCATAAGAAAATGAGAATAAAGTACAGGAGTGCCCTCTTATCTGTGTGGGATACCTTCCAAGACCCCCAGCAGATGCCTGAAACCATTATAGTACTGAACACTATATATACTATGTTTTTTCCTATACATACATACCTCTTCACGTCAAGGAAGCACTTTATGGTGTCTCCTTGGCATATCCCAATTGCCAGCATCTTAGGGGCCATTATGAAATAAAATAAGGGTGACTTGAACACAATTACTTCAAAACCAGTAGTGGATCTGATAACCAAGACAGCTAAGTGACTAATGGGTGTGTACAGCATGGATAGTTAGACAAAGGGATTACTCATGTCCCAGGTGGGAAACAGCATGAGGTTTTGTCATGCTATTCAGAATGGCATGCAATTTAAAATTTATGAATTGTTTCTATCTGGAATTTTCCATTTAATATTTTTGGACCATGGTTGACTGCAGGTAACTGAAATTCTGAAGGGAAAACTACTATATTACAATTGAGCAAGTGACTTAGCTCTGAGTTTTTTGTTTTGTAAGCAGAAATATTTTTAAATATATTTTTATTGATTTCAGAGAGGAAGGGAGAGGGAGAGATAGAAACATCAATTATGAGAATCATTGATTTGCTGCCTCCTGCACGCTCCACACTGGGGATTCAGCCCGCAACCTGGGCATGTGCCCTGATCGGAAATCGAACAGTGACCTCCTGGTTCATAGCTCGATGCTCAACCACAGAGCCATGCTGGCCTGGCTAGCTCTGAGTTTTTGAGTTTGCTCCAGGGTGCCCTTTGAATGGAATACATGAGAAACAGATGACAAAGGGGCCTGGATTTGGCCCCGAAGGAGTGTGTAATACAGCAAAGGAGCTACACACATACAAAACCCCATGATACAAGGAAGAGGTGCTACAGATGAAGATCACACCTAGATGGAAGAGAGATAGGAGGAGGAAAGTAATTTTGAAGGTGCAGTGAGAGGAAGGAGTATTCGTAGAGGAAACACCAGGACAAGAAAGCTCAAGGCAAGCAAGATATTTGGCTTATGACAGAGAGACATATGTAGATGAAAAAAAGATAAAAGATCAACAGCTATATAAAGAAGAAAAGGATGATAGTATTACTCAACAAATAAAGGGTGCCTGCTATTTGTCAGGCATTGTTCTAGGCTTCACAGATACAGTAATTTTTTAAAAGACAAAAATCCCTGCACTGTGGAGCATATGTTCTAGTATGAGTACTCAGAAAAAAGAAGAGTACACAGTTAATGGGATGGTGCTTAATGCTATGGGGTGGGGCCACAGAGGGGGATAGGAAATGTATTTAGGGGCGAGGGCAGTTTACATCATTCAATGTGGCAGTGAGGGAAAAAGCCTCACAAGGAAATAGAGGGTAGGGCAAAACAGATGAAGCAGGTTGAGTGGCTACTAGTTGGGGTTGGGCCATTTTATATACTTGAAAGGATATCTTTGGGAGCAATGACCAAGGATAGAACCTGGTAGAAACCAGCAACGTAACATTTATATAATGGTTCTGAATGTGTTTATAAGGAGCTCAAGTAACATCTACCCATACAATGTTACACTGAACCAACTTGATGTGAGGTTTTGGCTTAGTTCACGTAAAGAAATGGACAAAGGAAGCATGCCCTACTGACTCTCATACAACTCTCTGGACTCCATCTTCTGACTGATCCATGCTGTTCCAGTCTTCATGAAACCAAACCAAAGACATCCAAGCTTTGTCTGCTTTATTTCACTACATTAAGCAATAAGGCAAAACAGGAACCTGCCATTCATAAAGATCAAGGAGTGCCCCTCATTCCCAAAAGGGACCAAAAAGGATGTTTCTTCACAAATACACATGACATTTAGCTCATTACACCTACAAGCATTCTGAACAAAAGAAAACGTTGGTGGGCTAATCAAATCACAAATCCAAATTAATTTTGCCTTAAGTTTCCAAAAGTATAGCCTCTAGTGCTAATGACATCTAATTCGCCTGCAGCGGTGCACACTGACTGTGCATTAAAAATCTAATCTAATATACAAAAGCAACAAGAAAATTCTGAATTCACCAGCTGCCGGTGGCGAACCATTTCTACTCACACACAGAATACCAGCTTGCACTGAAAACTTTTTTGAGGAAACAAATCAATGGCTCTGTTATTCTGTAAGTTCATTTGGCTTATGAAAAAAAACATTTCTATGATCAAAAGTGTTTTTGTGTTTCTGTGTCACAGGGGGAGTGATGAGACCCATTTCTTCAACCTTATTACTTTTGGGAAAAAATACCAGCTATATGCCATAAATGTACAACATACAACTGTGTGTAGTCTATGCAAATGTGTAAACTAAGAGAGCTATTGTCTACTTTGCTGCTCTTTCTTCGCTGGCAGATGGGAGCAGTGGCTTCACAGTAAGGTAGTGAAATAAAAATTAATTTGACACTCTGTGGGGGTCACAACAAATTAAACTATTTCTATAGTTTGCAAATTTGTTATTATACAACACCTGCCCCAACTTTTAAGAGGCTAAACCATACTTATTATTGTCATAATATTAGGGGTATTTTTCCTTACTGTAGCATATATATTACTCTGTGGAATATTGTTTCATAAAATTGGCTTGATCTTAAGAGTACCACTTAGTGTCTTTCAAAGGCTTCCTAAATGTAGTTATCTTCCAGGGAGCTGGCAAGATACTTGGTCCTGTCTATATCCTAGATTTCTATATATCTTAACCTTTTCTTCTAAACTAAAGGCTTGAACTTAAAAACAAAACCAGGGTAAACAGAAAATTTCTCTTTTTACCAAAAGTCTGCTGGCCATTTGCTAACAATGCATTTATAGAAAATGTGGTACAGCTTGTGGTCTACTGTCTCAAGTTTCATTGTAGAAAACATCACAGAAATTCAGGTTAACAACCCAACTCCAGGATACAGAATGGAAACAGAATGTGTGCTGTTAGGCAAATGTTCTGGGCTGCTTGCTGAGCTATTTTACAATCAAAATGGTCTTATTTGACACACCATGTGATAAAAGTCAAACTCAGGAAGGGGAAAGGTTCTTTCTTAATATCCAGTTTGGGATTCAAGAGATTATAACTGTTAATCTCCCCTTCAAATCAATGGAAAGAACATTAGTTCAGATCATGCTTACAATCTAACCTTTTAAGATGTTTTGTGCATTCCAGAAGTGAACTTGTCCACCAAGTTTTCTTTGGGCCCTTTCCAGGTCCCAGATATTCAGAATAATCTACTGAGTTAAAGAGGCAGAGCAGAGAAGGGGTGGGGAGTAAGACATAGCAAGACTGCCTCCCTGTGGAAGCATTAATCCCTGGGTATTACAGCAAAATTTAAAGTGAATGGAATTTGCCAACCCCTTGATATGACATGTAAGTGCCTTCTTCTCAACTTCTTCTTAAAAAAAAAGTTCCATATTCTACTTGGAAAATTTTTTAAGAGCAACCAATAAATAAGTATCCTATATTCACTCAGAAGAGAGCAAATGAGAGTGCCTTAAGAATTTCCAATCATCACAGAACTAAGACAATGTGACAATTCCATTTTTCTGTCAAATGGAAATCAATGGCACGATGGTGGCCATGATGGCAAGTGAAGAGATATGTTTAGACTGCTAGGTTATATCTAATGGAATGCAGGAAGCAGTTGGTACATTGAGACCAAGGCCGGATTGTGGCCAACAGGCCTATCTTTCAGTTATAATTTTCAGTTCATCTGTGAGATTACGATCCTGTGTGAGATCAGACCAGGAGATAGTATGTCAGTTTCTCAAGTGGTAACTCTAATGCCACCCAGAGGAACAGCCATCCCTTTTCCTCAGATGGAGCTATGCTGTTGTATTCAACGTGCAGGGTTCAGTGAGGGAGACACAGACTTTCTGGTGTTAACAGAAGTGAGAGGAACAGCAGTTGCCCTGTGTTCCTAATGCCTGGCCTAGGCCCTGCCCTCCTAGGACAGGACTCAGTAGTGTGTGGGTACATTGTTATAACAGGGGCTAGTGAAGCAGCGGCTTCCACGCTTTAACGTGGACTTGTGGTGACACTGTCCTTTGGGCTCTGCCCGCCAGTGAAACCTTTAAGGGAGAAGTGGGCCCAAGCTGAGTTCCACATGCTGAGTGAGCCAGATGACTTCTGTGCCCTGGTCACTTTCTTCGATGGGGCGGATGGGCGCTGCCAGGTTTTTAAAATCATGCTTCATCTTAAAGCACACGGTCACTTCGCCCTCCTCACGTTGTGGGGTAACCTTGATGAAAATGCCCACTTTGTTGGCCTTTCTGAAGGCTATAATGCTATGGAAGGAAATAAGCACAGTGTTAGGCAGGTTACAAGTCAGCCAAGCCACTAAGACTTACAGTCATTTTATGGCCCAACAGGAAATCTCTGATGACAAGATAGAACCACCATCCTGTTTATCAGCAATGAAGAGTTTCTTCAGCAAAACGTTGATCTCCTTATTTTTTACGTGTTATAAAAGTAAAATATAATCAAGTTCAAATGGTAAAAAGTAAAAGTCTTTCCCCTTATTATTTCCTTCTGCATGAGGGGAAAACTGCAAACACTTTGGTTGTTACCGTAACCTACCAGGTATTTTTCTGTATTTATAATTTTCTGCTTTTTTAACCAACACAAAAGGGACACATTATTCTACAACTTGTTTATCACAAACACTTTTCCATATTGGTACATAAAGATCTCCATTCTCCTTAGGAGTCTCCTAGTATTCTATTCTATATTTACCATGATTGTCATACACTGAGGTTGTTGTCAATGTTCCTATTATAAACAAGGGTGCTTTGAAAACCCTTTTACGTTCATCTTTGTGCATATGTGGTAATATTTCTATAGAATAAACAGTGGTCATAACTCAGAGTTAAAGAAATTTCTGGAACACCATAAATCAGTGTTTTTGTAAATAACTTCTATAAATTGGGAATTTTTAGAATAGAAAAAATTCTCTCTAGTTGAAGTTTCCATTTCAGTTTTCTGACATGCACTTGAAGTTTTTGATTTCATAACAGCTTCAGCCCTAGCTGGTTTGGCTCAGTAGATAGAGTGTCGGCCTACGGACTGAAGCGTCCTGGGTTCGATTCCGGTTAAGGGCACATGCCCAGGTTGCTGGCTCAATCCCCAGTAGGGGGCATGCAGAAGGCAGCCAATCAATGATTCTCTCTCATCACTGATGTTTCTATCTCTCTCTCCCTCTCACTTCCTCTCTGAAATCAATAAAAATATATTAAAAAAATAACTTCAAAAAGTAATAAAATTAACAGAATTTGAACTACTGCCCAACTGATATTCAGTCACTCTCAGAAATATTATTGGAATTAAACATTTACATATTTAAACAGTACTGCATAACTTTAATTTCCAGATATCTAAAAGTCCTATAAAGTATAGTAATGTGAAATATATTAATTCAATTTTGTCAATCTGTCATGTAATTACTCTGACTGGAATTTAATATCTCAGATGATCTATAAGTTGACATTGGCTTAACAAATTTATGTACCTAATGAATGTAATTTAAGGACCCACATAAAGCAAAAGATTACAGAGAACGCATTTCGTATTGTAGTTATAAACCTTTGATTTGTATCAGATTCTTTTTTTTTTTAATTCAGTCAAAAATAAAAAAGGAAAAAGTCTGTCTTTCTATCTTTAATTCCCAGGCAAGCACTGCCATCTGGGAAGCTTAAAAAAATTTCAGATTTCTGGTGCCCCCCTACACCTGTTGAAAATAATCTCTGGGGTAGAGCCCAGGATTCTACAGAACTATAAAACAAAACCAACCACCTGCCCTGATGCTTTCTCAACTTAATCCAAAATCACTGTACTAATCTTACCTTTGCTCTCACTTTATTTTTCCAACCCATCCTATGTTCTCTCTTCTTTCCAATATCTTGCTGAGGGAGCTTCTGATTATTCTGTTACAAAACCTTAAATGTTCCCTGTGCCAGTATATTAAGCTACTGCTTCTCAGCTATCAGGTCCATCTTCTACATCTTGGTTTGTGACCCAGGACTCTGCTAACCCATTTCTGATCTGTAAGCTGGCTTCCTGTCAGGTTCCCGTTAGGGGGACTCTAAAGGGAGACTAGAGCATGCAGGAAGGAGGGGCTTGCTCCTCCCTGGGAGCTTGCTATTTGTGTGTGGTTCCCATGGGCATCACTCCAGCAATGCTCCTTCACCCAGAAAGTGGCAAGAGCGAGCTATAGTTTTCCAACTCTTGCATAACCAGCTGCATTGTGCACGCCTCTTCCGCCACCCTGAGATGTCAGCACCTGTAAAGCGTGTCCCCTCTAACCTCCCCACAAGTCTGAATTTCTGCTCCACCAGGGTCCTCCTTCAAGTTTCTACATTTTAACAATTTTAACCATTTCCCCTTTGTTCCCTCAGCCCTGGGGTGGTAGATGTTTCATAAAATTGCCATCTCTGGGATACTTCAGAGGTATTTTTTAACCTCTGAAGTTACCCAGTTAACAATTCTTTATATTAAATCCTCTCTGTTCAAATAATTGACGTGATTTCTGTCTTCAGACTGGATGCTGATGATGCATTCCCTTCAGGAAAAGGTTTGGTCTTTCACTTTTCAGTTATTAGGTACGAGAGAGTAAAATCTACTAATTACTCTGAGAGAGTGAGGGTAGGGGTGGACAAATCCAATGATAAATCTATAGGGATAGTGTATTCTGTTAGCAAGCTGTATTCTGTCCACAACCATTATAAGCCATGCACTTGAAATGTTTTTAACATGGGAAAATGTATTTATGTGAAAAACACAAAGGTTAAAACAATGTGCTTACAGAATGACACCAATGATGGAAGGACAAACAGCAAAATGTTAATGATGATTATCTCTGGTGGTTAGATTTTATTTTCTTCTTCATGGTTTATATGCATTTTCAAAATTTCTATAATAATTATTTTTATAAGAAGGAAAACTTATTTTTTAAAATGCAGATAAAATATTTAGGATCTCTAAGCAGGCCTCCTGTATCAGCCAATGTGGGGGAGACGGGGTGTCACAGAAAGATCACTCACTCGGGATCATCCTGAAAGTCCTGGGGCTCTGCCAGCTCATCGTACTCAGCGGCTGCGTCCTTGCCGGCCAGCACCAGTTCTTTGGGTGGCACCACCACCTGGAAAACAAGAGAGATAGGCCTTCCTTAGAAGGAATCTGTGTTGTAGGACATTAATTCAACAGCAAAGTATTACAATGATGCAGACATTTAGAAATAATTAGCAAGACTCAAGAAACGTATAGTATGATAGCACTTACATGAAGTTTAAAATCACTGTTTAAAAACACAGACATTTCCAGTAAAAATATAAGAACAAAAAAATTTAAGGGAATGATAAAGTCAAGGGAGTGCTTACTTCACTGTGGCTGCATTGGGAAATTCAAGTGGGAAGGATGTAGGGGTTTTAATTGTGTCTTTAATATTCTATTTCTTAAGGGGATGGAAGTACATGTGTCTTTGCTACATTAGTCTTCAAACTTTGTGGTGTATGCGAAACAATTCATCTTTTTTTTCTTTTTTCAATACTTTTTTTTTTATTGATTTCAGAGAGGAAGGGAGAGGGAGAGAGAGATAGAAACATCAATGATGAGAATCATTGATTGGCTGCCTCCTGCACGCCCCCTTCTGGAGATAAAGCCTGCAACCCAGGCATGTGTCCTTCACTGGAATCAAACCTGGGACCCTTTCGTCCGCAGTCTGATGCTCTATCCACTGAACCAAAAAAGCTAGGGCTTTTTTTTTTTTTTTTTTTTTTTTTTTTTTTTTTTTAAGAAACACATGAAGGAGAAACACGGGTTGCAACATAATATTTTCTGAAACGGGGATGTTGGGTATGTTTATGGTCATGGAAAACAAGCATTCTTCAGACTTATCCTCCTGTTGTAACTAGGCTTCAACTTTGCTATGTCAGAGGTTAACAGATAACGTCAACTACATTTCTAATTATGGATACAAATGTGGCTGAGGGGTGTAGAGAGAAAGAAATACAGCAAATTCACAAGCTGGGTATATGCATCAGGCAGTTATTTCTGTTTCTACCATTACTGGAACAGCTTAGTGTTATTTAACAAAAATAAAAAAAAACAAGGAGAGAGGTGTATCATCTCTCTTTGGAAGTAATGCTAATCAGTGAAATAATAAGTCCTCCACTTAAGGACTAAAAGGAAGAAAGCCCTCATACATAAAGCGCAAGGATGAAAAAAAGGGATAGGATAAAGACATTCTCTACTAAGAAGTATTATTTGAATAACAGCTAATTACAGACATAGGTATCCTTTCTACCAATCTCTATTATTAATAGAGATTGAATTATGAGTCAGTAATAGATGGTCTATAGAGAAAGGTCTTGATCTAAAATATCAAGTACTAGATGAATCACCAAATAGCGAAATGGAGAAAGGCCATATTTCATTCATTCACCTAACAATGAGAGTCAAAATCAACTATTTAATGTTTAGTTAGTGCTATGTATCCTCTATATAAGCAGAACACATACAGAGGAGGCATACCAGCTTTTAAAGGAGATACTGTTTCCTATGAGTCTTGCAGAATAAGCATTCATTACACTGAAAGAGTGTTGTGGGCATGTCTGCCAAAAGAGTGGGAACAGGAGAGGCATTCTAGATAAAACAAATAGCATATGCAATTCACCAGCGTGACAGTTCACAACCCACTGGATCTGCCTGGATCTCAACCAATAATATGTATGATTTGGAGAATGTTAGATTTGGGGATCTGGCGGAAAACCATCTGAAGAACAGAGAGAGGTGAGGACATTAAGGAGCTCTTCTATGTCAAGGAATTTGAATTTCATCTCAGAGTCAGAGGAATAGCAAGTAATCAGCATGTCATGATCAAAATTAGATTTTAGAAAGATCACCCTGGTGACAAGACAGAAGGTGGACTAGAATGGAAGTGGGGGTGGACTGAAAACAGTGAGGTCAGTTAGGAAATCACTACAGTCCAGGTAAGAAGTGATGAATCTTTCAAATGGGGCAGTGGCAGTGTGTCTGCAGAGAAAGTAAAACCTTCGGAGGTAGAATCAAAAGAACTGATGACTACTTGGATGTAGAAATGAGAGACAGCACAGAGTCCTTTAAGCCAGGTCAAATGAGGTCACTCCAGGAAAAATCAGGGTCAGAACAAGGCAAAATGCTCCCACCTTAGCAGTGCTGTTGGTATTATCAGGGTCCCCTTCATCGCACTCCAGCAGTGTCACATGGGTGAGGTTCTCCACTGGATTCGTAAGAGTCAGGAGAACCTGGCTCTCCTGTGAAATAGGAAAAGCATCTCAGACATGTTCCACTACTGCCACCTAGGTCCACTTTCTTAGCTGCTATACCAAATATTTCACAAAATCATCACCTGCCTTCCCCCATCAGTTCTCAGAAATAACACCCACCTATACCGCTCCATCACTGCATTCTCCAAGTGCTCACTCATTCCTACTCTATTATTTATTACTAGAGGCCCGGTGCACAAAAATTCCTGTCACACAGGCAGGGTCGATGGGGAGGTTGTGGCGCCACCCCCTGTCACGCACAGAGCAGGGCCGATCAGGGGGTTGGGGCGCTGCCGCCCCCCACGCACAGAGCAGGGCC